TTTTAGTACGTCATCATATATATATATATATATTTGGAAACTTCTGAGTAAATATTCGTTAGTAGTAAATTTGCTCGATGATGAAGATGGTGGTAATGGGGGAAGGTGCAGGACAACAATAGAATGGTTAGTAGGCGGGATCTAAGAATTCAACAAAGCACAACAATGACAATAACTACAACTAATTTGTGGTCATAATAAAAGTTAATAATACGAATATTGCCATAATATGTTTGTTTTGTTCTTTGGGATTTATTCGAATAAAAAATAATAATTTCAATTATTTTTATATGTGTGACAGTGGATCAAACTACAGTGGATCAAAATAATTAAACTACTAATATTTCCATGATTAATAAATTTACGATTACAATTCTGCAAGTCATTATTGAAACGTTTTTCTTCTGAATTAATGGATATTCTAAAATAATTCCATTCGTATCCATTTAATTATACGATAATTAATGATAGTACTATAAATATATAAGTACTTATCATTTATCGTTTGACAATAATGTCGTATAAGTTATCTTTACTATTAATGTAGACTTGACTATTTGTTTCAAAAATGTTTATAAATAAAAAATAAATTTAAACCCGTTTTCTTCAAGGGTGGATTATTTAGATTTTATTTTTCAAGGATCATCACAGCTATAAGCATGAATTTGAAACAGAAAAAAAATAATTGTTTCAAGGTTTATCATAAACGTTAGCATTGGTTTTTAAAGAATATTTTTTCAAGAATCTGCTAATAATAAGTGTAGATTTTTTAAAGAATAGTTCTTTAAGAATCATATTTTTTTCAAAAAAGTTATACTAAGGATCATCCTAACTGTAGGTGTGAATTTTTTAAAGAGTATTTTTTCAAGGATCGTCTAAGCAATACGCTTGGATTTGTTATATAATATTTTTTCCAGGATCGTCTAAACAATTTTCGTGGATTTTTTATATAATATTCTTTTAAGGATCGTCCAAACAATAGTCGTCGATTTTTTATATAATATTTTCTCAAGGATAAACAATAGACGTGGATTTTTAATATAATATTTTTGCAAAGATAAACTATAGGCGTTTTTTATATAATATTTTTTAAGCATCGTCTAAACAATAGGCGTGGATTTTTTATATAATTATACCCTACACAACTATGTTGTCAGGATATTATAGCTTTGTGCAGCCCCAAGAGTTTGTAACGCCGCGAAATATTGGTCCTAGACCCACCTTTAAGTATACCGATCGTCATATCTCGACTAGCTGAGTCGATCTAGACATGTGTGTCCGTCCGTCCGTCTGTCCATTATAATTTGTAAACACGATACAGGCCACAGTTATGGACCTATCATCACGAAATTTTGTATGTAGGAAGGGTTCGGCCCAATGAAGACCCCTATTGTTTTTGGTAAATATCGGTTAATATTTAGGGGATGAAATGGACCAAATACTTAATTTTTGCCGGTTTTTCTGGTCGCTCCAGAGGCCGCAGTTATGGCCTAAACATCTTGAATTTTTAAATTGAGAAGGGGATTGGGCCAAAGAAGTAACATGCCTGTTTTGATAAAGATCGGTCAATATTTAGCAGGTCAGATGGACCCTGACTTTTGTGTGAAAAATGACAAAATTTGTATTCTATAGCGTATATATTTACTTCTGAAGGACCCGAGAAGTTGATAGTATATCCAAGTATAGTGGTTGACCTTTAAATTGATACCAATTATATTGTCGTAGGTACTCGGATGTGGGAGTTACACGTAAATATTTACAGGAGCTTACGTATTATTGTCAAGGACAACGCCTATAATTTTCGGGGATGATCAAATAATAAAATTGGGATGAAGTGGACCGAAAACTTAATGTGTTGTGTTTTTTTTCGAGTCGATCTATAGGACGAAATTGAAAGCCGAACATCACAACACATGTTCGAATATGGGAATATGGACAAGTAATAATCTGAATATTGGTAATATTCGGAAAATATGTCAGTGTAAGGAAGATGTGCTGTTGACCTCTAATCGGGTGCAACTATCACGAAATATTACCCAAGCTCGGAATAAAAATCCGTATTGTAGGGTATCGTATGGTCGGCCCCGTCCGACTATACTGCTCCGCTCACTGGTATTTTTTCAAGGATCGTCTACACAATAGGCCTGGATTTTTAAAGAATAGGAGTGGATTTTTTAAAGAAAATTGTTTCAAGGATCGTCTAAACAATAGGCGTGGATTTTTTAAAGGATAGGAGTGGATTTTTTAAAGAATAGTTTTTCAAGGTTCTTAATATGAATGAATTTGGATTTTTAGGTAATTTTATATTTTCTCACAAGGATCATCATAGGAATGGGCGCGGGTTTTTTAAGGATTTTTCTCTCAAGGATCATCATAGGAATAGAGGTGAATACTTTTAAAGATTTTTCTCTCAAGTATCGTCATAGGAATATGCTTGGATGTTTTAAGGATTTTTCTCTCAAGGATCATCATAGGAATAGGCGTAGATATTTTTAAAGATTTTTCTCTCAAGAAACATTATAGGAATAGGCGTTGATTTTTTCTCTCAAGGATCATCATAGGAATACGAGTGGATTTTTTAAGGATTTTTCCTCTCAAGGATTAGCATAGGAATATTAGATGCATTTTTCCTCTCAAGGATCATCATAGGAATAGTCGTGGATTTTTTGAAGATTTTTCTCTCAATGATCATCATAGGAATAGGCGTGGATTTTTTAAAGATTTCTCTCTCAAGGATCATCATAGGAATACAAATGCATTTTTTCTCTCAAGGATCATCATAGAAATACGAATGCATTTTTTCTCTCAATGATCATCATAGGAATACGAATGCATTTTTTCTCTCAAGGATCATCATAGGAATACGAATGCATTTTTTCTCTCAAGGATCATCACAGGAATACGAATGCATTCTTTCTCTCAAGGATCATCATAGGAATACGAGTGCATTTTTTACGGATTTTTTCTCTCAAGGATCATCATAGGAATACGAGTTCAAGGATCATCATAGGAATACGAATGCATTTTTTCTCTCAAGGATCATCATTGGAATACGAGTGCATTTTTGCTCTCAAGGATCATCATAGGAATTCGAGTGGATTCTTTAATGATTTTTTCTCTCAAGGATTAGCATAGGAATATGAATGCATTTTTCTTCTCAAGGATCATCATAGGAATAGTCGAGGATTTTTTGAAAAATTTTCTCTCAAGGATCATCATAGGAATAGGCGTGGATTTTTTAAAGATTTCCCTCTCAAGGATCATCATAGGAATAGGCGTGGAATACGAGTGCATTTTTTCTCTCAAGGATCATCATAGGAATACCAGTGGATTGTTTAAGGATTTTTTCCCTCGAGGATCATCATAGGAATACGCGTGGATTTTTTTAAGTATCGTCAGCATTTTTTTTTATTTTTTATTTTATTTATTTTTTTTTTTTTTTTTTGGGAATTTCAGGGGAAATTCTGAAGGATAGTTTTAGGGATCATTACAGATTTTTAAGTATCATCTGGCGATATTTTTTGACGATCATTCGGGGATATTTTTGAGGATCATCGGGCGATATTTTGTTAACGATCATTCGCGGATATTTTTGAGGATCATCAGGGATATTTTGAAAAATATGTGTATGTATATATTCATGGATTATTAGCGGATATTTTTGATGGTTCATCAGCAGATATTTTCTAATAATCTCCAGCAGTTACTTTTAAAGGTTCATGAACAAATACTTCGAAGTATATTTTTTATACTTCGAAGTATATTTTTTATACTTCCTTCTTATAAAAGTGTTTTTGTTAATGGATAAATGGAAACATCTGAGCTATGACTTCTACTCCAATAACACTTCCCTCCGATTTCCATTCCACAGTCACAAAGAAGTTTTTATCTACTCCAATAAGAATGCAAACAAATCGAGTTATCTCATCAACAGTATTCCACTGAAAAAAGATACCAACTTTTGTATAAACTCACAGACACACACACCGCAGATTCAATCAAGTCAAGGATATTTCCAAATGAATAAACTCAGCACACACACACACTGCGAGTATCTGGTCGGAATTTCTGGCAACAAAAAAAGCAGTGATAAAAGCCAGACCGGTGAAAGGAACACGAAAATTAAAATTTTATTGTTTCAACACACACAAAGCAGCCAGCCAACCAACAAAGAAAAATATGTAAATAAAATCAAATAAAATAATTGAAAATATAAATGATAATACACAAAATGAGGGGACGACTGCCGCCAAAAAAAGAAATAAAATAAAAAACTGGAATAATATTAAGTTGTCAAAAAAACGAAAAGAAAATGCGATAAAGGAAATAATAGAAAACAATGAATGCATTACCAACATACTCAAAATTATACTACCACACTGGGGAGGGGGAGAAGGATGTGGCAGGATAATAATATTTAGGGAGAAATGTATATTGATGCACGCACACACATATAAGGTATTGCTACCCATACCAACATCAACAAGGCCAAAGAAAAAGTACCATGGCCGACAACAGAACTTGCTGAAATATGGGCAGGAGAAACAGACCAACCACCGCCAAGCAACCCTTAAAATTCCACAACGCACACACTCACACACATTGGCAAATGCGCAATCCTCCAATGCTGTATAGGATGCTGTATACACCGACACACACACTCACACAGCCACACATTGTGTGAGAAGAAGAATGATGTTGGCACAGGACAACGAGACTGTTGGTTCACGGGGTTCACCAGGTTCAGTTCGATTTTTGAACGAAACGCGTTTACAAGTCTCGCAGTACGGCAGACTTGATACGACACCAGGATATATTTAGTGTTAATTGCGTGTTTCGATATAAATTACAAGAAATAAATAAAATTAATTCATGTCTAACAAAAATTAAGAAAAAAATAATAAATATTAAAACACAACTATTGAAACTGTGATTTTTTCGTAAACTACTATATTATTATCTAACAAAAAAATAAATTGTTTTGAATCTATGTTCGAAAAATGATTTTAAGTCGGAATTCATCATCGGTATCTTCACATGAAGATGGTCCCACAGCTTTTGCCAATGTCACAGCATCGGCCAGCCAAATCGCCACGAACGCCAATGACACCGATCAGCAGCATCTGACCTACAACAGTCACTCTCAGCAAATGGCGTCACAGCAGCAGCAGCATCATCATCATCTGAATCATCAGCACTTGACCCTAACGGCACGTCAGCAGCAACACCAACAACAACAACCCGAATTATGTTGTCAACAATGTGGAAATTTAATCCAAATTACAAATTTAAACGAAAAAAATAAATATGACAATTTGAAATTGGCCAACAATATGAAATGTGAAAAGTGTAAAGTAGGTGTTAATCGTAAAGTGATGCGAACATCAGCAATGAAAACAAATCGAAAACGCAGTGCATCAAGTGAAAATGTCATGAACGAAAAAATCGCACGCGATGAAAATGAAAATAATCACATTGACAACAACGATGATGATATCGATGATGACGCGAACGATGATTTAGATGAAGATGCTGAGATCGATGAAGACATCGATATGGATGAGCTGGATCATGAGGACGACGATGGCGACGAGGATGAAGTTGATCTCATCCACGACGATGAAGATGAGGAGCTGACGCGACGTATACCCAAAGTTGAGAATATTTCTCCAATTCCAAATACAACGACCCTTTTGAAGGATAACAGCAGTAAACCGATTTTAAAATTTAGTGTTTCGGCAATATTGGGTGATACGCGAGAGGGAGTGCGTGTACGAAATGGTAAGGAATTGTAAATAAACGTATTGTGTATATTAGAAGTGCTGAAATATATATTATTTAAAGCAATTGATAACAAATTACAAGAAAAGACTATTTATGGATGGATACATATAATCTGATATTAACAAAACATTTTGAAAATAATTATTGCCATAACAAAACCTATAACGACATGACATTCTATTCAAGAACCTCGAATTATATTTAAACATTCCATAGATATTTTTCTGATTTTATGAGGCCAAATAAAAACTTAACGATGGACATAGCCAGACCATCTTTTTAACTTTAATTCTGTCTTCAGACTGATTTGTTTCCCTGAAGTTTCTGATGATTTTTTTTCTCTTCCGAATTTAGAATATTTGTTGGTTATATTTAAAAGAATTTAGAAGAATTCAAATTTACGGTAATAAACCGACACCTCTCCTTTTGGTCAATTCTGGCCGTTTCTGGTCAACTGTAAATGGTTTAAAACACGACTGGTTTTTAGCTCCTGGGCGATGTTACGACTGCTAACTTCGATCATTTCTCCGATTTTGTCGAAATTTTCGACGACCAGCCTAATGGATTTCTTTTTACCCAACCTAAAACTAATTTAAAAAAATATTTTTTTCCAATGATTCCCATTTTCGGACTTGATCTACGATTGGTAAAGATAATAGGTTGTGCAAAGTTTGGTTCAAATGGGATATTCCGTTCGCATGATGTTATAAAATACATTTTTAGCACAATTTTGACCATTTTATGAATTACCGATATTACTCAACTTCAAACTTGTACTAAGTTTGGAATAAATATTACTACATTCCCTTCTAGAGTTATCGGCCGACCAAAGAGACACACATATTTGTAAATCGACCCAAAATTATCTGAAAAGAATTTAGTCCAAAGAAATATATGGTCTAAAACCAATATTTCGAATCAATAACGTATATATTCAACCCTGAAGAACAAAGTCCCGAGAAGTTGACAGTATATCCAAGAGGAATGGTTGACCTTTAAATTGATAGCAATTATATGGTCGTATGTACTCAGATGTGGGAGTTACTCTTAAATATTTACCGGTGCTTACGTATTCATATATTATTTAGTAAGCAATTACCACACTAGAGGGCGGAAATATTGCCTAAGCACAGAATATAGAACCACAGAATGTTAGATTTTCGTGGAAGTTGTGTAGGGTATCATATGGTCAGCCCTGTCCGACTATACTGCTCAGCTCACTGTTTTTTTATTTTATATTATTATTGCGTAGAAAATGTCCATACTAATAATTACCAAGGTCTGTCCTCGTTTTCGTACAGCTCAAATGAGGAATGCAGTATGTTCAAGGACCTAGCCCAATTTTCCAACCTGAGAGTCTGTATATTGGTATTCCTCCTTCCATTTACAATGACATCATAGCCATATACAAATCCCGATCGATATACAACAATACGAGATTTTTTGTATCTCCAAATATTCTAAAAAAATATCATGCATAATATTTCGATTTTAATTTTTCAAGATTTTCAATGGGCTGGTAAATCAATACCAATGCTTGTTAAGGTTTGTAACTTTGCACATATATATTTGAAGATTTAAAAGAGAAGAAACATAATTTACAAAAAATTTTGTTATTGTTTTGTTGTTGTTTTTTGTAATTAAAGAAAAGTCCTTATTCTTGTTGGCGGGCATGATAACTCCCCACTGGAACATCGGAATCAGAAAATTCCAACGGTGTTAGAAAGAGTACATGTCTGGCTCTCGTATGAACTAGGATTATTGACTTCGCTCTAAAATTAACAAAATGGCGGACCTTTGAAAAAATATTTTTGGAAAATCGCCGATTTTTGGAACTGGCTTTATCCTAGTTCATACGATAGCTATACACTCACAGAGAAACGTGTAAAAATTTGGAATCGATTGGGTTATTAGTTTTTGAGTTATCGTGCCCGCCATTCGCAAAAGAGAAAAACGCGTTTAAAGTTTGAGAAGCCCTTTAGCCGTCACTTGATGCTGCCGCAACAAATCGGCTATATCTTCAAGAGTTCTTGAGATTTTCACTTGAAATTTTGTAGAGACATTCTTGAAATAGTGTAGAATCGAATTGATTAAAAAAAATGTTGACCCCGAGAATGGGGGGTCCCCTTAATGGGTTCATAAAATCCATTAAAAAATCGGGTTTATAATCTGAAATTAGGCGATACGGATCTCTTTCCAGGAAAAAATCTTAACGTAAAGAGGAATTCATTATAATATTCATTCATTATAATATATTTACTTCAAGTTCATAATGATCAGTTTAAGTTGGGCGCCAGATTTAGTATGAGGAAATATATACATATTTTCAAAGCAGTTCAAATTCAGACTTAGGTAACAAATTGCATGGACCTAAAATAACTGATGGAATTTTGTATTTTAAGCTTTATATATAAACGAACTAGTTAAAAAAATGTTTTTGGGCGCCATTGCTAAAACCTCACAATACACGACATCCCGTTTAATTTTTGTCATTTTAAGGTCCTTGTCGAATTTCCAACCTAAATGTCTGGAAATTAGTATTATTTCTCAGAGAATAATAAACCTCCTGGCCGATTTAATTAATTTTGAATGCTGACATCAATATGGACGGATCAAAATCCACTTGATAGATCTAAATATTAAATTTTGAAAAAAAAAATGTGTTATCTCGTGGGTTACTCAATAAAATTATGAATATTGGATTTAGGTAGCTCCCAAATTTCGCAATTTTTGGAAGTTTGGACACGTTTTCCATTCCAATTTTATGTACTTTTATATATTGGGTTCTGTTTGGGTAGAAAAATTTAGACTAGATTATCAATTTCATATCTTCCAAACTGTTTGTGTCTTCTGCTAATCAGCGATGGACATTTGCAGAAAATGTGTTCAATTGATTCCAGTTCTTCTTCGTCCTCACATAGACGACAGTAATCCTCTCCACTGGAGTCCCACTTAGAACGCACAAACAACGATTTTGATCTCCCTCTTATTGTGTTTCAACAGCGAAAACGTTATTTTACGAGAGAATTCAGGCCAGATAGATTTTGAGATTCTGCAAGCAGGTTCCCTTAGCCATCTGTTACCAACTACCTCGCAATGGAACGCACGGATTCTGCCAATGAAATAGCTGATGGGAGGTTTCACAGATCTCTAAATCAGAAGAGTGGACGACTGCGAGCCCCCTCGAGCAAGCTCTATTATATTGCATTACGAAGTAATGTAGTTTGGTATTCCGAAAATTTGGGGGGGGTAAACAACTTGTTCACAGAACAATTGCCACGATAAAATGCTCAAGGGAGATAACGAAATACCAAAAGCCCTGGCTGGAAAATTGGTATAGGGCTTGAAAATGCGAAAATGACGTAGCCTTGAAATGGAACGCACGGAATCAATTTCAAGGCCACGTCATTTTCGAATTTTCAAGCCCTATACCAATTTTCCAGCCAGGGCTTTTGGTATTTCGTTTTCTCCTTTGGGCATTTTATCGTGGCATAGCCACCATAAATTCCAATCGATTTTAGGTATTTTGCCAACCTCATAATGAATGGTATACAAATTTAGGCCCAGCTGAACTTAAGGTCTTGTAAATTATTCATTAAATTAATCCACTAATTTTTATTATTTATTTTTTTAAAATTGGAAAAACGCTGTGAAATATTTCTTGCCAAATATAGAAAATGTCACCCCTTCTATCTTGACATCATTCATATTATTATTTTTTAATGGAGAATAAAAATAATTGCCCAGCAATAAATCTGTAACAATAACATTGTCATTAACTTCAAATGCCAACAATTCCAGTTGCTGTGGATCCTCTCGGTCATGGTCACAGATCACAGCCCTCCTTCTTGTTTTAAGCCCACTTTAGTTATGGATAAAGGATTAGCCAATGATTTAGATCAGTTGTTACTCTCTTTTTTGTTTTGGTGTCTCCTTTTTTACTCATCATTTTAATGAAGGTATTTACGGCATTGTTCGAAGCATTGTTGGGCTTATCAAAACACAATTCGCTTAAGCCTCGAGGCATTAAAACGCTGCTGTAAAAACAAAAAATTATTTTATATGAGTTTTTTTAATCATGTTTAAATTATTGGTTGCGGTAAGTTCCGTTTTTTTAAAAAATAGACAATGAAAAAGAGAGTCGGAGAGCCCTACACATCCTTTAAATCCCCACACACACACATACACAGAAAATATGCTACATTGTAACAATGAATAGTTTTGAGCACATCTATTTCGTTTTTTAATTCTTATCGGGGGTTAATTTTCAACGTTGGGCCTTTTGACTGCCCGATTCTTTGTTTGGTAGAAGAAGATCAACAAGCCACAATGTGAACCCCACACAGGAACACACCGCACACACATCTGACAATGTGATCACATAGAAATGCCCACCAAATGAATGAGATTCCGTTCGACATTCATTCATTTGGAAGGCGTAACTAAATTGCCCATCCGTCACTTATAAACTATAGTGTTCCGTGCTATGTGTGTGCGAAAGTACACAACACGCTTTCAATGGTGAGCGGAAATAAAAAAAAATAATGTTTTGTGGTAGGCAGTTTACGCAACGATTTTTTATGTGGAAATCCGCCTTTTTACTAACTGTCGGTATTTATAGATTAATTGTCATAATTTCTTTGCGGTATTGGTTGCGTTTTTTTTTTATTAGGGCAATTTTTTGGGTAATTTTATGATTATTTTTTCGCAAAAAAAAAATTAAACGAATATTGAATTTATTGGCATTGTGAGTGGTGATTATGGCACGTGCGAGGGTTTTTGGGAATTGTTTAGGGCGAATATGTTTTTTGTAGGTGTTTCGATGCCATTTAAGTTGATTAATTAGAAACAATTTTTCGAATCGTTTTTTATTACTATACTGAAACTACAAGCTAATACCATACTCCTACCATTTAGTTAAAAGGTACCTACGGCATTTTTCTATGGATTTTTTATTCGCTCCACCATAAGGGGTAGAAACGTAGAATTAAATTGAA